GATGAAGGTACCACAATTTGCTTAACCATTCACCAGCTGAGGACATGTAGATTATTTCCAGTTTGGAGCTATTATCCATAAAACAACTAATGATGTTGAATATTAAAAAAATGTTTTATTGACAAAGGAAGACAATCAAAAAAGCTTGTAGACCATAACCCTAATGTTTCAGGTCTGTCTTACCTCAAGATCTTCTGTCTTACCCATCTCTCCTTTTAGAACCTCTCCCTACTTTTCTCTAGCTAACTCTTGGACTCCAGAGAAAGTGTTAAAAGTCTTCTCTAACCCCCAGACCAGGGGTACCTCCACCTGTTTTATGCCCCCAATGCCCCTGGCACTTTCCCCCCTAAGCCCACTGTACTTGATATTTTCTATCTGCTCCTCCAGATCTACTCTCCACCCTTCTTCATTCTGCTCTCAGCCCAACACTACAACAAATCTCCTTAGTCCTCTGGGTTCCAGTTGACTTTGATCTCTAGGGAGCCCTTGCAGGGGAAGGAAGGAGAGAGAGGGCCTAATCTTATTCCCCCAGCCCCTCACTGTAAGGCTGACTCAGGAAACTTGTGTGTCTAGAAGGAAAGCCTCAGCTTCCTTCTACACAACACTATCTTCCTAGGTTTTAATATCTGCTCCCTTCCCTTTGTCCCCTTGGTCCTGTAGATGTATTTTGCTTGGTCTAATCTAGGTTTTGAAATTTGAATTAGTTGTCGACACTTAATAATGGGAAGATTTTGCGTAAAATTTCAGATGTCTGGCTTCTCTTGAAAAGAAATCAGAAGAAAGTTTGACAACACTGAGCCTGCATTCCAAATAGTAACCAAATAGTGTGGCCGTGAGTAGAGCCACCGCTTCCACTGGGGCAGCTACTCTTAAGGATTCACCATCACCAGTGACTCCCTGTTGCATACAATAATCTTGCTTTGCTATTACCACCCTGGCACTGGGAGTCATGGTTTAAAGAATGTGTTGCCTGCTAGGTAGGTCCTGTGTCAGACTTCTCATCAGATTTGGAGAAAGGGCATGGCTGGCCTCTCCCATCTGTCTGCTTTACTCTCTCTTCCCTTGCACCACCTACAGCGTCCTCTCTCTGGGATTTCTATCATTCTATCATCCCCTCCTAGACCCCACTTGCTCCCAGGCTTGCTGCTCCTCTCCGCACTTCTCACACCCTGCCAGAGTGCCTTTTTTTTTTTTTTTTTTTTTGAGGCAGAGTCTCACTCTATCACCCAGGCTAGAGTGCAGTGGCGCAATCTCGGCTCACTGCAACCTCTGCCCCCTGGGTTCAAGCAATTCTCCTGCCTTGGCCTCACAAGTAGCCAGGAGTACGGGCAGCTGCCACCGTGCCCGGCTAATTTTTTGTATTTTTAGTAGAAGCAGGGTTTCAATTTCACCATCTTGACTAGGCTGGTCTTGAACTCTTGACTTCGTGATCCACACGCCTCGGCCACCCAAAGTGCTGGGATCACAGGTGTGAACCATCACACCCGGCCCAGAGTGCTCTTCTTAAATGGGACTCAGATTACAACCCTCTCTCTTAAAACCTTGCTAGATTTTCTCATTGCCCTATAGTTAAAGCCTGCATTTCTAAATCAATCTCCTGGCTTATCTGACCTTTACCTACTACCAGGCTGATCTGGGGCCACTCCTCCTCATTCTGCTTTTCCAGAACAGTGAGTTCCTCAAGCACACATCTTATGTCTCGCCTGGGCAGCATACTTGCAAGCTCCTGGGCCAAGTATGAGGCCTCTCTCCTCAATTCCTGGTCACAACCTAAGTGCCCTTACCCAGATAGTGCCTTTCCATTCTGTGTCTGTATCTCTTCCTAATAGGTGCTATACTTGTAAGAAGGGATTTTTTTTTTTAGTCTTTCTGTCATTGGACTATGAGAACAGTGTTCATCTTTTTCACTGCCTGATTTATAGTAGGTGCTCATTGAACATATATTGAAAGAGCAGATTTAGAGATCTAGCTCTTCATGGAATAGCAGTTTCTACCACTTAGTGACAATGTGGAATGCCAGGGCTTCTAAAGTGTTTAGCATGATCATACATTTATGCTATGAGGCCTGCCTGTAGGGTGATTGTACATGAGGTGAGGCCATTGGGGCACCTACAGCAGAGGATTTAAGGAAGCTTTCACGCTTACAACGCCTCTCCTGCCACACTCTAGACCTGGCTCTGGGAGGGAAGCCTTTGCTAAGAACCATGAAAGGAAAAGAGAAAAAGAAAATTAGGGTGATGCTAGAGGGAGATTTGTGATGGCAGCCTGACACCCACCACCTGATTCTTGAACACTCACTGTGGATAGAATGGTGTATGGTGGCCACAGGGCGGAGAGGGCGGCAGAATGATGATACCTTAACTGACACCTGAGTATGTGATGGGAGAACTGAGGAGAAGCAGGGGGTTCTTCTACAGGAAATCGAAGGGTAGAATTCATTATCCTAGCCCTTAAAACAACAGCTTACCCAACAGGTTACACAAAACCAGGTTTCTGTTTCAGATAAACAGGTAAAGGAACTCTTAATCCTAAAGACTGAAAAGTAGAAAAGAAAGGGAAGAAGAGTGCCCCAGGATTGCCATTGCAGGTTCTTTTTTCTGGGGCTGATTGCCAGCTGAGCTTATTCAAACCCCAGAGCAAACATTCTGCTCCTGCTCTCGTAGAGCCGCCCTCCTGCTGTTCAGTACTGCCTCCTGCGATGAAGGGCTGGCTCAGCAGACACCAGTGAACCCTTTTCCATTCCAGAAGCCCCAGTGGACCTACTTTAATATACCAATAACACTCCTATTTTAAACTAGCTGTATCTATTTTCGTGCTAATAATCACAGTGCCAAAGTTCTTTAAAGCAATTATTTTGTAAGTAGGTTAAACATGTACTTTGGGATCCTGTTCTGTCTGTTTACTGGCCGGGTAACCTCTTTGTTATCTAATTCAAAGTCCGGTACAGTTTCAACCAAAACAAAAAATGAATGATGTTTCACTTGTAGTCAAGATTCATTCATTTTCTAACATTAATCATTTTCATTATGCAATAAGTCTATATTCATGACAAAAAAATAGAAAATACAAATAAGCAAAACTAAATTGAAAGGAAAACCATCTGTGATCTGCCAATTAGAAAATCTCTATTCTAAACATTTTGGTAAATATGCTACCAGATTTTTATCTATGCAAACGTGTATTTGTATTTTTCCTCACTTGTATATTGAACACCTTTTCATATTAATAAACTAGTTAGCATCATTATTTTTGATAGCTTCATGGTGTGCCATTATAAAATTAGATGTACCACACTTTAAGTATCTCTCTTGCTGGATACTTAAGCTATTCCCAATATCACAGAAGTCTTTTTATACATACATCCTTGTACATGCATCAGATTCTTTAAGATTGCCAAAGGTGAGGTGGTTGGGTCCCAGGGTGCAACTGTTTTTTAGCATTTCAATACATAATATCAAAGTACAGTCCAGAACCATTGTACCAACTAATGCTCCCACCAGCAGCACATTGCAGTGTTGATTTCCTCCTGGTCTCACCAGCACTCTGTCAACACTGGGTACTGGTGCGTCGTGTACATGACATTATATGCCAGGCACTGAGAGTGAATTAAAACAGTTCATGTTGGGAATGGGGCAGAAAGGGAGATAAACAAGGGAGTTGACATCTACAGACCAGTTAGCTGAGATTACAGTACATTAGAGCTCCAAATGCACAGAATCTGAACATCATGTTCATCCTAGGACAAGTGTTACAGAGGCTTCCTGAAGAGGTTCATTCTGAGGCTCACCTTGAAGGATCATCAGGAGTTAATGATGAGTGTATTAAGCCATTCTCGCATTTCTATAAAGAGATGCCTGAAATTGAGTAATTTTTTTTTTTTTTTTCTGAGACGGAGTCTTTCTTTGTCACCTAGACTGGAGAGCAGTGGCGCGAACTCAGCTCACTGCAACCTCTGCCTCCCCAGGTTCAAGCGATTCTCCTGCCTCAGCCTCCCGAGTAGCTGGGATTACAGGCACCTGCCACCGGGCCTGTCTAATTTTTGTATTTTTAGTAATGGGGTTTCACCATGTTGGCCAGGCTGGTCTCAAACTCCTGACCTCATGATCCTCCCGCCTTGGCCTCCCAAAGTGCTGGGATTACAGGCGTGAGCCGCCGCACCCAGCCAAAATTGAGTAATTTATAAGAAAAAACTGTTTTATTAGCTCATGACTCTGCAGGCTGTACAGGAAGCGTGGTGGCATCTGCTTCTATAGAGGCCTCAGGAAGCTCCAATCATGGTGGAAGGTGGAAGGCACGTCACACTATGAAAGCAGGAGCGAGAGTCAGGGGAACATGCCACAAGATCCCATCACTTTTAAAGAACCAGATCTCATGTGAACTCAGAGCGAGAGCTCACTTATCACTAAGGAGACAGCCCAAGCCATTCGTGAGACATCGGCGCCCATGACCCAAACACCTCCCACCAGACCCCACCTCCAACAGCGGGGATTACATTTCAATGAGATTTTGGTGGGGACAAATGTCCAAACTATATCGATGAGTAAAGAACAAGAGTAAGGAACAGGGAAGCAGTGATGGAGAGAATGATCCAGGTAGAGAAAAGTTTCCAGGCATGAATGTCCAGCACCTTTTCAGGGAGTGACAAAAAGTTCTGTAATGGTTGCAATAAAGGGTGCGTGGGGTGTTGGGGATGGTGGACAGGAATGATGGACAGTGAGGCTGATGAGATGCGCTGGGTCTCATCAAGAAGTGTCCTCCGGGCTTAGCAAAGGAGCTCTAACTTTATCTGGAAACTTTCCTTGGGAGGCAGGATTTGGCATCAAAACCTGTGTGTGGAAGACTCACACTGATCCAAGGGAAGGGCACTGATGCTGGGCTCAAGCATTGCCTTGTCATTCCCTGATGAGCTCTGTGAGCTTGGGAATGTGTCTAGTAAAGGAAAGGAGCTGATCCAGGTCCTCTTGAATTCTGTCACAGTTTTTTACTTTTTTTCCTTGCAGAAAAGGTGGCCATTAAGATCCTGGACAAGACCAAGTTAGATCAGAAAACCCAGAGGCTACTATCCCGAGAAATCTCCAGCATGGAAAAGCTGCACCATCCCAACATCATCCGCCTTTACGAAGTCGTGGAGACCTTATCCAAGCTGCACTTGGTGATGGAATATGCAGGGGGTGGGGAGCTCTTCGGAAAAATTAGCACTGAGGGGAAGCTCTCTGAACCAGAAAGCAAGCTCATCTTCTCCCAGATTGTGTCTGCCGTGAAGCACATGGTGAGCAGGGGTGACGAGTGAGAACCTTGTTCCCATTCCACCGACATTGGGAGAACAGGGCTTTAGGTTACCAAGCCTCAAGTGTCCCAGAGGGCTTTTGTCCTACAAAGCAGACAGTAGTCCCTTCTGAGAGTCAGAAGTCTGGCTGGGATCATGCTCCTTGCCTGTGAAGCAATATCCAGGGATGTCCAGTTACACATCAACCTCCTAGCTTCTGCAGACGTTGGCAGGACTCACTGGGAGCAGCTGATGAATATCGCCCACTCCCTGGCCATACCCATTTCTCCAACCTCATCTTCCACTATCTGGATAGCTGGCTCCTCACTGCTTCTTGGTTTTGCTTTCCTATTTCTGTCTAGGATGCCCTCATATGACATCTCACATTCTAAATCCTATTCATACTTCATGCCCAGCTCAGTTAATTCTCTCTCTCTCTCTTTCCCACCCCCCGCCCCATGTGTGTGTATGTGAGAGAGAGATGTTCTTCAATCTCACATCAGTAATACTGATCTTTTGCCTTCAGTAAGATCCCCTAGCTCTTATTGCCTCTGTGCCTAGTAGATTAACACTTGGTTCTATCTTCCTTCTTTCCTTCGTTCCTTCCTTCCCTCCTTCCCTCCCTCCTTCCTTCCTTCCCTGCCTCCCTCCCTCCCTCCCTCCTTCCCTCCTTCCTTCCTTCCTTCCTTCCTTCCTTCCTTCCTTCCTTCCTTCCTTCCTTCCTTCCTTCCTTTCTTTCTTTCTTTCTTTCTTTCTTTCTTTCTTCTTTCTTTCTTTCTTTTTCTTTCTTTCTTTCTTTCTTTCTTTCTTTTTCTTTCTTTCTCTTTCTCTCTTTTTTCTTTTTCTTTCTCTTTCTTTTTCCTTCCTTCCTTTCTCTTTCTTTCTTTCTCCCTCTCTCTTTCTTTTCTTTTCTTTCTTGCCTGCCTTCCTTCCTTTCTCTCTTTCTCTCTCCTTCCTTCCGTTCTTTCTTTCTTTCTTTCTTTCTTTCTTTCTTTCTTTCTTTCTTTCTTTCTTTCTTTCTTTCTTTCTTTCTTTCTTTTTCTTTCTTTCTTTCTTTCTTCCTTCCTTCCTTCCTTCCTTCCTTCCTTCCTTCCTTCCTTCCTTCCTTCCTTCCTTCCTTCTTTCTTTCTCTCTTTCTTTCTCTTTCTTTCTTTCTTTTTTTTTTCTTTAGACAGTCTTGCTCTGTTACCCAGGAGTGCAGTGGCATGATCCTGGCTCACTGCAACATCCGCCTCCTGGGTTCAAGCGATTCTCCTGCCTCAGCCTCCCAAGTAGCTGGGATTATGGGCATGTGCCACGATGCCTGGCTGATTTTGTATTTTTAATAGAAATGAAGTTTCACCGTGTTGGTCAGGCTGGTCTCGAACTCCTGACCTCAAGTGATCCACCTGCCTCGGCCTCCCAAAGTGGTGGGATTACAGGCGTGAGTCACTGTGCCTGGTTGGTTGTGTCATTCTTATTTTAGTTCTTTGGTTACTTCTTTAGATAAATCTGGACTCCTAATGCACACTCTATAGTTCCCCCAAGAACTGGCTCTTTTGCTGCCTCCTTATTTTTGGCCATATTGCTGGCCATACAGGAGGAACCTGACTTGCAGACCTGACTATCACTTTTACTACCAAAAGTTTTGGTCAGTCACTCTCTTTACTCAGATCCCAGTTGAATGGATCTGTCAGAAAAGAGACACTTGTCTAGGGTCTATATTAGTTGAGAGGCTATTTGTAATTTGATTCTCGGCCTGCATGTTTGTGGGAGCAAGAACGGGATCAGTGAGCCACAGTGAACCCTATTATATGCCAGGCACTGAAAAAGTCAAATAAAACAGTCCATGCTGGCAATGGGGAAAAGAGGAAGAATTTGCAAGGGAATTCATGATGTAGAGGCCCAAAATAGCAGTAGGGAAGGAGAGGAGGAAGAAAAATAAGTGAGCCAGGGAGAAGAACTTGACTGTAGTGGTGGTGGGTGTTTCAGACCTGTGATATATGACCAGTCATCATTTAAGTGGCTTTGGGCTGTGGTGAGCTTTCCCAGGGCCAGAGAATAAGCCAGATCCATACCAAGAAATAGAACAGATGGGCAGAGTCTTCCACATTCTACTTAGAAGAGTAACCTGGTGGGAGAATAGAAGAGAATCCAGCAATAGAGGGTACAGACGTTAGTCTTCAGCAGCTCTACTCCCTGCCATTTCTCCAACTCTTTGCAAACAGGAAGTGTGTTTCGTAGCCATAGATCCACATCTTATTGAGTTTTTTAATATGTCAAGACCATGCTGAGCACGGTTCTCATCATATATAGTTAGCATCACATATAGTTCTCACCACAGCCTATGGTTATCAGTATCCCACTTTATGAAGAAGGAAACTGACATTCACAGTACCCAACTGGTATAGTTGAACCTGGAATTGACCAGACTGTCCCCTCCAAAGCCTGGATTCTTATTCCAGGAGGGCCATCAAGACAGGTGACAAACACAAAGCCATTTTCCCAGAGCCCTTGGGACTGAACAGGTCAAGGGTCCTCTGAAGATTGTCTGGATTCAGGATGCAAGGGTGGGAGTGCAGCACGTGCCCACAATCCACAGTGTGTTCTGTGGCTAGATCCTTGCCAAATGCAACCACCTCCCTTCTGCTGAATTCTGTAAAGATAAAAGAGTCTACACCAAAAAGCATGGCCCGAAAGTTAGGGGAGGGCTCCAAGCTTTCCTGGTCTTGGCCCTGGTCAAACGATCCATCAGCCAGAAAAACCCATGTAGGACCTCAACAAATAAGGATTACTGTTTCATTGTATTTCAGAATGTGTAGTTTCATAAGATCTGGATCTTATTTCTGGTGTTAGTTTCTCAGTCCACATGTGTGGAACAGACTCCAACCCTTACCACACAGAATAGGAACTTTGGTCTATTTGGGGAGGTGTGGGCATTACATTGGGCTAAAAGTTATGACAGGGTTTGCTATCACGACTTAAGTTGATCCTCACTGAATTTGTTATTACACCATCATTATCTCACTGTTTCAGAGCAACTTATACATTTTTTATTTTGGCATTTTACTGTAAAAATGACTGTTCTCTATGTCTTCTTCCACAGCATGAAAACCAAATTATTCACAGAGATCTGAAAGCAGAAAATGTATTCTATACCAGTAATACTTGTGTGAAGGTGGGCGATTTTGGATTCAGCACAGTAAGTAAAAAAGGTGAAATGCTGAACACTTTCTGTGGGTCTCCTCCCTATGCTGCACCTGAACTCTTCCGGGACGAGCACTACATCGGCATTTACGTGGATATCTGGGCCTTGGGGGTGCTTTTGTACTTCATGGTGACTGGCATCATGCCATTTCGGGCAGAAACCGTGACCAAACTAAAAAAGAGCATCCTTGAGGGCACATACAGTGTACCACCCCACGTGTCAGAGCCCTGCCACCGACTCATTCGAGGAGTCCTTCAGCAGATCCCCATGGAGAGGTATGGGATCGACTGCATCATGAATGATGAATGGATGCAAGGGGTGCCATACCCTACACCTTTGGAACCTTTCCAACTGGATCCTAAACATTTATCGGAAACCGGCACTCTCAAGGAAGAAGAAAATGAAGTCAAAAGCACTTTAGAGCATTTGGGCATTACGGAAGAGCATATTAGAAATAACCAAGGGAGAGACGCTCGCAGCTCAATCACAGGGGTCTATAGAATTATTTTACATAGAGTCCAAAGGAAGAAGGCTTTGGAAAGTGTCCCAGTCATGATGCTACCAGACCCTAAAGAAAGAGACCTCAAAAAAGGGTCCCGTGTCTACAGAGGGATAAGACACACATCCAAATTTTGCTCGATTTTATAAATTACACTAGACTGCTTATAATTAACCGAGATCATTATTGCTGCTTCTAAATTTTTTTCAAGGACAACATGAGTGGAGACATTTTTGTAATTTTTAAATAAACTTAAATTTGAGATATGCATTTTTTTCTCCAAAAGGTCTATTAGCTCGGATTCTGGCTTGATTTGGGATCTTGTTTTATTATCAAATTTCAGCATTCATTCATTTAATCAAGAAATATTTTTCCAGTGCCTCCTGTGTGCCAGACACTATTTAAGGTGCTACAGAAATAGCAAGAAATAAATAGGCAAGGTCCCTCCTCTCATGTGTGGGACATTCTAGCCCAGGACAAAGGTGCTAACAACTACATTTTTTAAAAAAGAAAAAGATCAGTGATAGATGCTATGCAGAGAATTCAAAAGGGGTGATCTGATATCAGAGGCTTGCTACTTTGGATTAGTCGTTAAGGAAGGTCACTTTGAGTACATATCAGTTTAAGATCTGAATGAGAAGCAAGAGTGACTCTTACAAAATGCCAGAGCATTCTAGGCAGCTAGGGGTTTCAGACTCAGTTCCCCTCAAAACAGAGCCTAAGACAAATGATTCCATGTAGAGCAGTTTATTTGGGAAGTGATCCCAGAGCACAGGAGTGAAGTACCGGGGAAACAGTGAAAGCTAACACACAGACACCTTAGCAAGTTGGCTAGTGCTACAGTTTCTGGTACTTGGTTTTGCAGGATCCTCAGAGGAGCCTGATGAAATACATCTCAGGTGTCTGCCCTGGGTATGGAAGGGGAAAGCATTTAACCACAAGCTTTTGCTCACCGCTGATCAAGGTGGCCCTTGGTGTCATTTGCCCTGCACTTCCAGATTGGGCTGTGTGAGTGCCAAGTGGGTTCCCTATGCTTCCCTTGCCTTCATGTCAGAGAAGTCTTGGAGCAGGAGGGAAGAGGTACACCACCAGTATGATACCTCCTTTCTGTGCCTGCTTGTCCACTGGCATGGGGAGACCAAAGTGACCATGTGACACTTGTAGATTTCAATTCACTGGAACCCTTATCAAGTCCCCTGATGAAAGCATCCCTGATCCCCTGGGAACCAAACCTTTTAATTTAGCCTAGATTGTAGAAAAAAAGAATAGAAATTAATCAAGTGCGTCACCAATTGCGTGATGGTAACAGGGGTCAATCTACTTCCACCTAGTGGTTTCCAGACCTGTGTGTTTTAACGATAGGGACATGTATCAGCCATTATTAAAGCTCATTACCAAATCCTGGAGGACAGCACCCCAACCCTGCAGGCTGCTGTCTCATCTCCGGTGTCTTAGCTGAACCATTCCATTGTTCTGCTTATGTTGGCTGCTTCTGGTGTTGAGGTATATGGTAAGATGAGGGGATCCCGTTGTTATGTGCCCGTCGCACCACTTCCTTTATCAAAAAAGTGGTCCTTGAGGCAATGTTTGAGATATCATAACAGTGAATCAGGTATTCTGTATGTCTTAGTGTGCTTGTATGGAAAGACACATTGCAGGCAGAAAAGGCAAACTCGTACCCTGAGATGTCAATTCCAATAAGGATGACTCACTCCTGGGCCCATCTGAATTCGTGACTCCATGGATCTGATAACGCCCAGCTCATATGTTAACAGCTCTGTTTACCTAGTCCTTGGTATCTCATAATTTGGTTCTCAGCCTCCACTGGGGCCCAGTAGCACATCAGGAGTCTGAGTAGTTCTCTGTTGCAGGAAGCATGGCGTTACTCCAGGATCCTACAGAGTTGTGCTGTTATCTCCTATTGGGGCTTTCCAGAGGCCCCGCACAATATTTTTAACTGCCACATACACGGCCTGAATAGCAGTTTGTTCAGAAGCCAAAACTGCTGTAATCTTTTTTTTTTTTTTTAAATGGGATCCACTTGAAACTGGCATTAAATGGGTGAGAGGAATACACCAAATACAATATACGTGCTTCCAAAGTCCAGAGGGACCTACTAAATCCTATGCCTCTATCTTAGTGTTAAGAGGTTGGAAGATACAAGAAATTGTTCTTTACTATAGAAGAAATATCTAGGCATGCCTCAACTCATTGGTCTTCTAAACTCTTCATCAATGTGGCATGCCCCAGATTCTTCATAGAGTCTATAATCCACACTCCGGCACATGTAAGCCTTACTAGGGCATTTGTAATACTTGCCGCTTCCTGATAGCCAATTCCCCTAGCATGCTGTCACAATATAGTGGGCTGGCATGATGTCCTGTAGAATGTAAAGATGATCAAGGTCCTTTTGGATTTTATTGTGATATAGAAAAGGAGATTTAAGATTTTTGGGGGCAACAGAGTAAATGAGAATCGCTGTCCATCCCAGAGAAATGTGAACTGCTTTTGATCCTCCTTTCTGATGGAAATTTAGAAGAGTGAATTTGCCAAATCAATAGCTGCATATCAAATGCCAGAGGATGCCAGTAAAGATACCACATCCAATACAGCAGCTACAACTGAGACTAGCAGTAGTCCGCCATCATTCTCCATTATCTATCTGCTCTTTTTCAGGAGTCTGATGGTAACTTAAATGAGATTATGATGGAACCCATTACGCTTGCATCCCTAAAATTTTTTGATGGTGACACTGATGTCTGCCATTCCTCATGTGGATTGCTCATAATTTATTAACATGGCCAGGGAGAGGTTTCCTCTTCCTCCCATAATGGTTGTTACTTCACAGGTCTAAGACCTCCACGGGGATCTAAGTATATTGATCCCAAATATATACTTAGAGATTGGGAAAATAATTGCAAAGTGGGAATCATTATGTGATAGACTGGCCAGGACTCCCTTTATCATATGGTTTCCATAACCCCTCATCTACATACAAAGCCATAATAGTATCCAGTTCTGAAAAATTCTGGGCATGTACATCATATATACTTGTGAAAGCAAGGCCTTTCCTCAAGACCAGTCCTCCTCTTCATTGTGCACTGGATCTGTAAATTGACTTAGATCTAGAAGCTGATGAAGAGACCATGATTTTCCCATTGTGACAGGCTACCTTAGCTTTACGCTCACCAGTTTTCCTTGTTTTTTCTTTTTTTGGTCATACTAGTCAAGTAACATACCAGTCAGCTGTCTCCCAAAATTCCATGATTTATTAGCCATTGTCACAAAGCCCTGCAGATCAAGGCAGCCTGATTGATTTCCACTCCAGCCTTACTGTTCATTTTATTGTGTCCACCTTGCCTCTGACATTTAAGTGATAATACATGACCTCTACCATTCTAGTCTCATCATCATCTCCACTGATGATATGCTCAATTCCGTGGCAGCATTTCTTACCATCAACACCTGCCTGCAATGGGCAGCCACCACTGAACTTTTCTTAGGTGCTGCCGCAACCCTCACCAGTGCATTCCTTTTTTTAAAAAATTATTTTTTATTCATACACAATTGTATGTATTTATGGGGTACATGTGATATTCTGATACATGTATACAAGGCATAATGATCAAATCAGGGTATTTAGGATACCCCATAACCTCAAACATTTATCATTTTTTGGTGTTAGGAATACTTCAACTTTTCCAGCTATTTTGAAATATACAATAAATTATTGTTAACTACAGTCACCCTGCTGTGCTATCAAATAGTATAACTTATTCCTTCTAACTGTATGTTTGCACCCATTAACCAACCTGTCTTCATCCTCCACCCCTACCATCCTTCTCAGCTTATTAGCACCATTCTACTCTCTACCTCCATGAGATCAACTTTTTAGCTTTTATATACAAGAACATGTGATATTTGTCTTTCTGTGCCTGGCTGATTTCACTTAACCTAATGACCTCCAGTTCCATCCATAATGCTGCAAATTACATGATTTCATTCTTATTTATTTATTTATTTATTTAGTTTTTTGAGACAGAGCCTCACTCTGTCGCCCAGGGTAGAGTGCAGTGGTGCCATCTCAGCTCACTGCAACCTCTGCCTCCCGCGTTCAAGTGATTATCCTGCCTCAGCCTCCCAGTAGCTGGGATTAGTCGCCTGTCACCACACTCAGCTAATTTTTGTATTTTTAGTAGAGACGGGGTTTCACCATGTTGGCCAGGCTGGTCTCGAACTCCTAACCTCAAGTGATCCACCCACCTTGGCCTCCCAAAGTGCTGGGATTACAGGCATGAGCCATCACCCCCAGCTGATTTCATCCTTTTTTACGGCTGAATATTCCATTTGTGTTTATATACATTTTCTTTATCCATCCATCCATTGATGGAAACTTATGTTGGTCCCATCTCTGCTATTGTGAATAGTGCTGCAACACACATGGGAGAGCACAGGTATTGCTTTGATATACTCGTTTCCTTTCCTTTGGATAAATTCCCAGTAGGTGGACTGCTGAATCCCACGGTGGTTGTATTTTTAGTTTTTTCAGAAACCTCTATATTGTCTTCCATAATGGCTGTACTAATTTACATTCCCAACTGTGTATAATAATTCCCTTTTCTCTAGAAAAATACAAAAAGAAAACAAAAAATTTCCTTTTCTCTGCATCCTCACCAGCATTTGTTATTGTCCTTTTGATAATAGTTATTCTAACTGGGGATGAGATGCTATCTCATTGTGGTTTTGATTTGCCTTTCCCTGATAATTAGTGATGTTGAACATTTTTCCACTCACTTGGCCATTTGTGTGTCTTCTTTTGAGAAATGTCTTTTTAGGTCCTTTTCCTACTTTTTAGTGGGATTATTTGTTTTTTTGCTGTTGAGTTCCCTGTATATTCTGGATATCAGTCCCTTGTCAGATAAACAGTTTGCAAACCTGTGCATTTTATATTACCTTAGTGATGGCAGTGTCTTCCTGAGGAACGTAGTTAGACGGTTGTTCAGTCTCACATAATGAATCCATTCTAACATTCACACCTCCTGGAACTTTCCAACCCTTTCTTCAATACTATACCAAGGCAGTTCCGCCATCTTCACCTCATTTACTGTGTGCTATAATAATATCCAAGCCTCAGCAGCCATCCCAACAGAATATTATGATCAAATTCAGGTGTTGTTCACTTCTAAGTCATGGGTAAACATTCCTATAGTAATTTTTTTTTTTTTTTTTGAGACTGAGTTTCACTCTTGTCGCCCAGGGTGGAGTGCAAT